CAGTAATGGTCCTTCACAGATGTCTGCCCTAACCCTTGGAACTTGTGGATATGCTACCTTATGTGGCAAAAGGGATTTTTCAGATAATAATTAGGGATAGGGACCTTGAGATGGGAGATTATCCTGGATTATCAGGATGGGCCCAAACTAATCACTTTAATCTTTAAAAGCAGAGAAGCTTTTCTGCTGAAGTCAGAGAGAGAAGATGACAGAAGAAGATTCAGAAAGATGCCAGATAAGGAGTCCACCAGCTACTGTTGACTTTGAAGATGACAGAAGTGAACCAAGGAATGCAGGCAACCTCCAGAGGCTAGAAAAGGCAGGAAAACAAATTCTATCCTAGAGCTCTGGAAAAGAGTGAGTCACTGCTGAAACCTTGACTTTAGCCCTGAGTCCTATCTCTGATTTCTGACATACAGAACCAGAAAAGAGTGAAATTTCCAGCAACAATAGAGAATGAATATACTACGGTAGCAATCTTTTATAAGGAAATAGAACTTAAATGTTTTTGTTACATGTTTTTCTTCTCCAAAATATCATTAAAAAGAAACACATGAAGGTTGAATAAAGAGCATCACATACTGTATATTCCCCAAGAGCAAGACAAGGGGGCAAGCAGGGAGATCAATACAACCAATATGGCAACATATTTAAATACCAGCTGTGTCTTTAAGTGTAAAAAACTTGCTCATCAAAATCTTCAGCAATATTTAAAAATCACCTTGGGATGGAATGGTAATTTCTTGGAATGAAATTCATTTAAGTCTACTTACATGCTTTTTTAAAAAAAAATCGGGGGCTGGGGTTGTGGCTCAGCAGTAGAGTGCTTGCCTAGCATGTGCAAGGCCCTGAGTTTGATTCTCAGTGCCACATAAAAATAAATAAATAAAATAAAGATATTGTGTCCAACTAAAAAATAAATATAAAAAAAATTAGATTAGGAGGTGGGGATGTAGTTTAGCGGTAGAGCATGTGCAAGGCCCTGGGTTTGATTCCTAGCACTAAAGAAAGAATAAATGAATGAGTGAATGAATGAATGAATAAAATAAAAAAACCTTGAAAAAAGAAAATTCAGGTAATACTTTCCGACCTTATTCCTAAGTTATGTGGCTGGTATAGAATGTTCATTTATTATTGAATATGGCATTGGAAAAACACATACAATAATACTAATAGCGTAATCTTACCTTTTGTTATGGCCCAGTCTCGGGACTGAGAAGACCTAGGTTTGTATTTTGAATCAACTACTTACTAGCAGTATGGCTTCTAAGAGAGTCACTAGCACAGTAACAAGTTTTCTCATCTGTATAATAAGAGGGCAGAAATTGTTTTATTCACTGCTATGTCTCCAGCACTAGCATAGTTATTTACACACTTCTGATGTCAATACGTATTTACTCATTTAAAGCATAATTACCATACAGAGTTGCTGAAAATAAATGGGATAAATTCCTTTAAAAAACATTATTAAATGTCTTCCCTGAGCAGGGCTCTGTGCTAGGTGCTGGGGATGTGAAGATGAATAACATAGCACCCCTACTCTTTGGGAGTTTCAGTCTAGAGGAGTTACAGAGATTATGTGTGAAGAAAGAAAAAGTGCCATGAAGCTCATAGTAGGTGCTCAATAAACATTGTTTTTAAAATAGCATTTTGCACTTTAGAAAGCATTTTTTCATAAATATTATGAGAATAAACAAAGGTCTTGGGTGTTCAAAAGAAGATGAGATGATTTGTTGGTATGAATAGGCATAGCTTAACTGGAAAGATGGAATTAGAGAAAAATTCTATGGTCTGAATGTTTGGGTTCCCTCTAAAATCCACATTTAAATGTAATCTCCAATACTACAGTAGTAAGAGGTGGAGTTAACAGGATGCATTAAGTCACAAGGGGTCTACCCTCATGGAACAAACTAACACTTTTATAAAGGGCTAGACAGAACTAACTAGGTACTTTTGCTTTTACCCTTTGTGTATGTGAGGACACAGTAACAAAGTGCCATGTTGGAAGCAAAGACTGGATCCTAACCAGATACTAAACCTGCTGGCATCTTGATTTTGGGCTTCCCAGTCTCTGGAACTGTGAAAAAAAATGAATTTCTGTTCTTTATAAATTAATTTACAACTAGTACATAAAAATATAACTATACTCCATATAATGAGGTACCATGTTTTGACATATGTATAAATTGTGTAATGTTAAATCAGGTCTAATTTGCTATAGCATAGTAAGGTGATTATAGATAATAATGTACTGTACATTTAAAAAAGCTAGAGGGATTTTTAAAGTTTTCACCATAAAGAAATGATAAATAGGGCTGGGGTTGTAGTTCAGTGGTAGAGTGCTTGCCTAGCATGTGTGAAGCACTGGGTTTAATTCCTAGCATCACATACAAATAAATAAAATAAAGGTCCACCAACAACTAAAAAATATTTTAAAAAAGAAATGATAAATATTTAAGGAGACAGATATGTTTAACTTGATTTAATATACTGCTTATAAATTACCTGTAGAACATCAAAATATGAATGGATTTGTGTGTTAGACCTGACATAAACAACTTAAAGGATGAAAGATTTATTTTGGCTCATGGTTGCAGTCCATGGCCGGCAGGCTTTAATTACTTTGGGCCTAAATCAGGTAGAACATCATGGTGGAAGGTCAAGGTGGAGGAGAGCTGCTCACCTCCTGAGAGCCAGGAAGGGTTTTAATCCATTGCTGAGGTCAGCGACCTCATGAGCCAATCCCCTCCTCAAATCTCCACCTCTGAACATTGCTGCATTTTGAATTAAGACTTCAATACATGAGCCTTTGGGAGACCTTTCAGATCCCAAACCGTAACAATTTAACAGGAGTAAAAAATAGAGTGGGGGTGGGAGTTTATAGATAAGAAAATATAAAAGCAAAAAAATAAGTAAAAGCACATCTGCAGTAATTCCATATTGCTTTATCTGTGTTCCTGAACCTTATACTCAGCAATATCCCTGGAATTCTGCTTAATATTTGTAATTGCAATCTTGGGAAAACCTTCACCCACCTTTGAAAATTTGGAGAACATTTTTCCCTCTTTAATTTCAATGCACATACCTAATGAATCCTGCTGTTTACTAATGAAACACATGACACCATATATTCACGAATACTTACTGAACCTTAATATGTTCAAGACCTTAATATGCACTGTGTATTGGAATCACAGAGGCCACTAAGATAACTAACTATTGTGTACACAAAGAAATGCCCTTGAAAGCAGAACACTGTGCCATGACCAAGCCAAAGCTGGATTTGCTATAGTAAGGCTGAGAGGAGAAGGAACATGCAAATTTCTTCCAATTTTCTATAATTAAATCATTTGACCTTGGAATTTGATCTTTATAAATAAAAGTCAACTGTTATTTTAGAACCTCTTTTTGGATTACTTGCTAAGGTTTGTTGTGCCCTTTCTAATGCACCTACTTTTTTCTTGATCTGAAGACTGAGACAATTAAAGGAGTCCAATGACTCTTCTCTCTGCTATCAGGTCCAATATGTTCTTTATATCGCCTGGAAAGATTCTTACTCAGCTTGATGTAGGACAAAAGAGGCTGGACAACTCAGAAAATTTTAGGAAGCAGGTTTATTGGCTGCAGGGTCCAGAGGGGCTATCACCTAAAAAATTCTCTGGACCTCGAGTCTGGAAATTCTTTGAACTTTATACCCAGTGGGAGGAGGGGTTTTAAAGTTTTCATGATAAGTGCTTTTTAATTTTATTTTATTTTTTAGATTAGTCAGGGGTCTTACAGGTTTTATTACAAAAGCAGAAGTAACATCATCAAGCCTGCAACCAAACTTAGCTTTTGCAAGATTCAGCAACTTAGTCCTCACAAATAGAAGTCCTATTCCACATTGAGTTTTTTGAAGAAATTTTTGCTTATTTTCTATTCTAAAGCTTTCTGACAAGAAAAGGAACTTATATGTTAGAAATACGGTGGAGATTTCTGCTTAATTATGGTAAATGTCTCTGGGTGTGGGGGTTTCTGGTCTGCTTCAAGCTATTTTGTTCTGAATATTCTTTAAAATATCTTTTATCGTGTTTTAGCATATTTGCAATAGCCACTTTTGGCCTTGGGGATATCGCCTGCTGTAAGAGTACTATTTCAGCTGGAAAGATCTATTGCTCATGGTTTGTGACGCACCGTGCACTGTGCGTGTTAGGTCGTCTAACCCTCAGAACCGCCGTGAAGCAAGAACTATCTTATCCATGAAGTAGGGAAAAAAAACACTGATCCTGGAAAAGAATAATTTATCCAAGGTCTCAGATTGCCTAAGTGGTAGACCTTGGATTTGGACATTTGTTGTTTCTGACATCAAAGCCTTTTTTCCCATGATGTATTAACTGTGATAAAGAGTATTTTAAAATTCATCTTTCGGGTTTTCCTAAGTCTTTTAGAAATCTCAGTTCATCAAAAGGTTTCCTGTTAAAGTCTCTTGGATTTCATGTGCGCATTAAGCATTTATTTTCGGTCCAGGCCTAGGCTTATGACCTGTTTTCATCAGTGGCCCTAAATCTATTCATTATTGTGATGACTTATAATTTTACATTCATAATTATTTCTGTATCATACCTATTGGCATTCTGAAAATTTCTAACATTTTTTTACTGCTCCTGTTGGACAATGCCCAGTATTCCCTTCGGCTGTAAAGCAACGTTAGCTTTCCCTGCATGGTTTTTGGGCGGGATTGCGGGGCAGGCGCTGGGGAGCAAGTGCGGGACAGTGCCGAGTGGTCTTGGTTAACGGCAGGTTGTTTTACTTATCTTTCTGCCACACGTTCTGCCTTCGAACTGATCACTTCTGCCTGGCAACTCTAAAACGCTGAGAAGCTTCCAGGTTAACTCAAAACTGACCGATGAGTGAACTCAGCGAGCTCCAGCCCGGCCCGGAGGAGAGAGCCCGCCCCGGAGGCGTGGACACGGGCGGGGCCGCCGCACCTAGGGCTTTATAGGTCGCGAGCAAGTGGCGCGGAGTCGACGGCAGGCGGCCGCAGGGAGCAGGACTGCGCCCGGACGCTCCGCCCCCCGCCGCGGCCCTCGGGCGTCCTTCCGCCCAGCTCCCCGAGCCTTCACCTCCGCGCCGCTGGGGCGGCCTGCGTCCATCCAGCAGCTAGCGACCGTGGGCCATGGCCGCCGCGGGGAGTTCCCGGCTCCTGCGTATCGCCTCCGCGGCCCTGGGTGGCTCGGTCCGCCGCCCACTGCTCCTCGCCGGACCCCATGCGGGGACCAGCGGCCTGCCGGGGAACCCGGGGCCGGGCCTGGGCGGCGGCGCGTGGGCAAGCCGGCCGCTGAGCGTGTCGGCGCGGAGCAGGTGAGGCGCGGGCGGACAGTGGGGTCTCGGCCGGGAGCTGCGTTCTTCTGGCCGCCTTTTGCGATGCGGGGGTCCTCGCCTGGCGCCTGCGTGCGGGGCCCTTCCAGGGACACCGGTCCCTCGCTCCGCCTCCTCCTGAGCCCTGTGGGCCGCTCAGTCCAGAAAGTGGTTGGTGTCGCCTCCCTTCTGCCCTCAAACGAAATTCCTCTTCTAACCACCCAGGCCTGGGGGGAAATTGGGATCTGGGACCCCCAGTTTTCTTTTCCAGCTCTTCCTGTTTCTGGGGAGAAACTAGCAACTTGCCACTGCTGGTTCCTAGAGTGGTTTGGAATCACAGTAACCTTTGCCCTGAACTGGCAGTGACCTTCATAGTGGTAAGGGAACAAATACGGGTGCTGGGAACATAAGGGAATAATTATATAAAATGGGCCCACTGAGCTGTCTTCCCACATGCTATCTTTTCCAAGAAGCAATTTGCCTGCAGCCCAAGTGGACAGGATATGTCGCCTTCCTCATCTAACTACCTGGTATCAGCAGGAGAAATGCAGACTTGAAATAATGTCACTAAGAGGAACCCAAGTTACTGTGAGGTGGGAGACTTTTGTGACCCTTTTCGTGACCCAGATCCTGGAACTCAGGGAGATAAGGATAATTCCGTCTAACCATAAAACCTGTAAGAATTTTTGGTTAAGAATCCAATTTAAAATCTATCAGGCTGGGCCAAAGTGATCTAGAGTTGTGGCAGTGGGGACGTGAAATCTGAAGTCATCCTGCTCTTGGTCAAAAGTGAAGATGTGGACCTGGGCTGGACCCTTTAGAAACTCCTCTGGGATCCGCAATAAAATTGGAGTGCAGGAGAGCCATGCTGTCCCTCTCTTGAGAGGACCCACTCTTGGCCTTGAGAGTGTCCTCCTTTCCCATCCCATCTAATAAATTCATGCCTGTTACTCTGAAGGACCTGTTTGAAATCTTTTTGTCTTGATCTCAAGAATTGGGGTTTGAGGATGGGGGGCTTCTGTACTCAGTTTTCTGGAAGGTCCCAGCCCTTTAACAATGGGAAATTCTGATCTGACCTGCCAGTGCTCCTTTCTCCTGTGGTAGGGACAATCCTCAATTATGTGAGATAATACAGGTGATGAAGGTAGTCTTGTGCCTGGCAGATACTGAGAGGTCAGTAGATACCTTGTGTTAGCAGCAGCAGCAGCAGCAGCTACTGCTTCTTAGTTGAGGATTTTGTGTTAAATGTTTAAAAAGATCTGAAAAAATTTCCCAAAACATTGGAATTTTTTATTCTTGGGATTTTTTGGGAGGGTACTAGAGATTGAACCCAGGGGCACTTAACCACTGTACTATCTTCCCTAGCTCTTTAAAAATTTATTTTGAGACAATTTCTTGCTAATTTGCTTAGAGCCCTGCTTAACTAAGTTGCCTCAAACTTGCCATCCTTCTACCTCAGGCTCCTGAGCTGCTGGGATTAGAGGCATGTGCCACCATGCCTGGCATCATATTTGTTTTTCAAAATCATGCCTTAGGTTTACTGGAAATAAAATTTAGTCAACTTCAGATTGTAGCAGTATGGTGGAGATTTTTATATCTTCCTCACCCAGGGTGTAGTGTGGTAGGAGGCAAGAACTGGATAGAGAGAATATGGGATTTGTATGCTGTCTTTTCCAGTTTCTTCTTGAGAAGGTACCTGAGAAGAGAGTATGGGACTGATGCATCTTATCCCCCATGAATCTGTTTTGAGGTGTATGCTCACTGAATTTTTTGTTTCATGAACTGTGAGTGAGATCATGAAGAAGACAAGTTGGATGGACTTGTCCCTATTTTTCTTACATACCTTTCACATTCTGTGTGGGTGCTCTCTTGGATGCATTCTTGAAACTTGGGTATAAATTAGGACATATTGAACATATCTATGTAACTAGCATTTAAGTGAACATGAGTGTTGTTTTCTTAATGGGAATTATCTTCCCCACCGTTATTATTTGGATTTGAATGTTGTATTTCCTATTATAGACTTTGGAAGTATAACTGGGTTTTCCAGTTCTCATCCCAGACCTGTGCTGTTTGTTACTGCTTAACTGCATGTGGCTATTGGAAGTGTAAGGTAAAGTTACATAAAATTAAAGACGCAGTCCACCAGTTATACTAGCCACATTTAAATACTCAGTTCTGCATGTGACTAACAGTGCCTTGTTGGACATTGCAGGTATAGAACATCTGTGTTATTGCATAATGTTCAATTGGACAGATCTATTCTAGAAGCTGTAGTTATGAGTTTGAAGTTTAACATGTAGATAATTTTGTCAGAATTAAAAAACCCAACAACTTAACTTTTATTGTAAAACACCCTGACACACCATTTGGAATGATTTAGATTGTAAAGGGTTTTCACATATATTACTTCATTTGACTATTAAGACAATCCTATTAGGTAGGAAGGGATAGATAAATGGTAATAAAATTACACATTAAGTAGTTGGCAAAACCAGGTCTAGAACTCAAGTAGTTTTTGTTTGGTTTTCGAGCACCATAATGGCTGATTTTTTTATTGTTGTTATAGTAGGGATCAGGATTGAAACCATGGCATCATATCTGCAAGGCAAACATTTGATCACCAAGCTACAATCCCAATCTTTAGTCTATAGTTAGTTATTTGGGAGAGTTAAGGTGACTGTGTAAGTAGGAACCCTAGACTGGGTCCTTTTTCTGGGCTAGTGTGCCCGGATACAGTATATCGTGGAAATGTGGTCATAAGCAGCTGCAACTTACTCTTTTAGTAGGAGGCTGCCAAGAACTGTAGCATAGCAAACACACAAATGTATGCTATGGTCAAGCAGAATACAAGATAAAAGTAAATGGTAAAGTTGAGTAAAGGGTAACAAGTGAAGAAAGTAGTTTGCAGTGATGATGGATTAATTGGTGATGATAGAAGATTAAAAGGGGTTATATTTGTTTACCAGTGCATGAAATCTCATCCTTTTGGGGACAAGCTAAAAGCTTTTATTAGTTCTTAGAACTGGAAGAAGAACATCCAAAAAAATCCATCAATGTTAATCTTTGACAGTGAACAGATAAAAATTAATTTGGGTGAAGTACATGGGTTTACTATTTTAGGGAACACAGGATTTTCACAGACTTAATTTCTTAAAATCATTTTAATTCTTTAGTTTGCAGCTTGGTGAAGTTATTTTATCCCAGGTTTACTTATAAACAAGGGACTTCCTATGATGACCTAATGAATGTCAGAATCGGGACTAGAATCTCTACCTTTTGAATCTTAAGTGCCATATTCTTTGGACAGAAGAATTACCTTTCCTTTCTACTTTGCACTTCCTCTCCTTTACTGAACTGATTAATATCCTCACTTAACTTTTGTTTTAATAGGACTATATGCTTTCAGTACATAATAGCAGGTCATGTTCTTAGCAGTAAAAAGGCTTTGATTTTAAAGATTATCAATCAGTGTTTGTTGGGTTTTATTATGTTAGATATTTTGTGTTTGTTTTCAGAACTATATAAGAAGCCAGGTGCAGTAGTGCATGCCTGTAATTCTAGTAACTTAGGAGGCTGAGACAGGAGGATCGTGAGATCAGAGCCAGCCTCAGCAACGGTGAGGCGCCAAGCAACTCAGTGAGACCCTGTCTGTAAATAAAATACAAAATAGAGCTTGGGATGGGATGTGGCTCAGTAGTTGAGGGTCCCTGAGTTCAGTACCTGGTACCAAAAAAAAAAAAAAAAAAACCAACAAAAAAACCTGTATAAGATAAATGTTATCCTGATTTTATAGAAATGGGGGCTGTTGTAAGAGATTTTTAATTCTTTTGTTATAAAGTTAGCTCTAACGTATACCAGAACATCAACATATACCAGAACAGCAATCCTAAAACCTCTGGTTTTCAGTAATTTCAAAAAATGATGGAATTCGTTCTATAGTTTCTATTATGGCTTTAACTACCAGACATTTGTTCATATCAAATCTCTAGAGTTTTCTCCTGGGCCCAGACCCATATTACCATCTGGCTTTGGAACATTTTCATCTAGTTTTTCCATTATTGAATGAAATAAGTTTAAACTTGAACTAATTTCCATCTTCCCTAAAAACTCCTCTCTTCACCCTAAACTGTATCACCCGTTTGCCCATACCAGAAATCTGAACATTATTTCCTCACTGTCTCCCAGTTTATGGCATATAAATATTCTCCAAAATCTTCAGTACTATCTCCTGAACAGCTCTTCTGCATCCATGCTTGGTCTGTGCTCTTCTAATACCCTCCACAGCATTCTCTCTGCTTCTGGAATATCTTTATTCTCAGCCACTTTACCTTGGGGAAAAAAAGTCAGTTGTCTAGATTAAAATCATGATTAATGTGTGAAAGTAGGTTTTCCTTTTATTCAGTGCTGAAAATTGTACCCAGGGCCTCCCTGGTGCTAGGCAAGCACTCTACCACTTGAGTCATACCCCAGCAAGAAAACTTGTTTTTAGCAATTTAGTTATTGTTACAAAAAGAAGTGGGAGGACACAGGTCCTTTTGTGGGACACACACACACACACACACACACACACGATCATTCTAAATTAATAGAATCTTTTTTCAGTGTTAGGGAGGATCTTATTCAGTTACTGGGGCTTCACTTGCCTCATTTATGAAATGAGATAATTAGATTTGATAATTTTTAGCTCTGAAATTATTTAATTATGGCTTATATTAAAATTTTATTTGATAGACTATTACCATCTGTTGCTAGTAGTGAAAATTATAACTTATTAAGTTGAAATACATCTTTTCAATTGTGATGTAAAAAGTAAAATGGTGATGGTGGAGAGTAAGGATCTAATCACTACTATAATTTGCCAAATTTTGTAGTGGCGTTGATAAGAAGGGAAGGAAATTTAAGTCAGCTTGCTGATAGATAATATAGTAAAATGTGAAAGGATATATTTATCTTTCAAAGATCCAAGCAAGTAAACAATTAAAAACCTTTTGTAGTCCTATTGATTTTTGGGTATACAGAGTCAACCCAAATGAAATGTTCAGATACTCAAAACTCTGAGACTGTTGTTTCTCGACTGCAGTCTCTTCTCTGCTTCTCTGGCACTTATTCTATCAGGCATCTGGATAGTGATCACACTACTGAGAGCAAAATGTTTTTTTTTTTTTTTT